AGATGAGATTTAGAGGGAAGATGAGAGGGGAAGATGGAAGGGATGAGTAACAAAAGTGAAAACAAAAACTAAAACTGAAATCTATTTGAAATTTTTGATAGTTTTCACTTTCATCTTTCCATCTAAGACATGAGCAACTGAATTATTTTTGTGACATATGGGTTCCTGAAATGGATACTTGGAAGATGACCCGCTGGATTCTTCTTCCCAAAGGGGAATTTGTAGCATGGCCTTTGGGGTTCAAGGCAAATTGTAGATTTCTTATGACGATGCCTCCTCCACTCCAGATAAATGTTGGGATAAATGTCCAAGTTCGGTTTTGTATGATCCTAAGCTATACCAAGCCAGCAATACCAAAATTAAAATGGAAAGATTTGTATGGGAATGTCGATAGAGAAATCTACAATTTGCCTTGATTGAAGTTCCTTTAAATAATTTTATTTGAAAGATATCATTTAGGGTCGACTACGAATTTTTTTTTCAACAATCTAAACTATCTATTTTTTTAAGTATGCATTCATAGATCATCATTACAAAAATTTAGATAAATCGGAAACCGTTTCGATATCCAATTGTGTCCCACAAAATCAATGAACACATTGCTTCAAGAAAGTACTAAAATTTCAATAATTCAATTGAGTGGTCAAATGATATCGGATTCAAGTGATTTTTGTAGAGATAATCTTTGAATGAGTATCTACAAAATAGACGGTTTGGATTAGTAAAATACAATACAGAGTGGGCCCTACAAAAAAATTCCTCAAATAAACTTATTTGAGGAATCCTTAAAAAATATATATAATTATGTAGCTATATGCCTTTGATTGAATATTGATTCAACACTGCTGTTCTAAAATATGCCTTTGGCGTTATATAATTATGTTTAAATAGGGGCTATAACAATTTTTATGCATTTTGTAATTTTGATTGAAGTCCTATCATTTATATCCACACCAACATTTTAGATTAATAAACTAATCTCCGAGTTACATTTTCGTCCATAAACTCCAAAAATAGTTGGGTGAGGTCTTGAAGATAACACTGGTAGAGTTATCCTCTCTATCTTCCAAAAAGTGTCGTCTATAATAATAAGACAACAAGCAAAGGAGTGTCTTGTTTGTGGTGGACTGAAATCGAATATACCAATACCAAAGTGGTCGATATCAGAAAAGAAGAAGACTGAGTTTGGGTTAATGCATACAATGAGTCCACCAAAAGAAAGGGCCTAGCTCGAGAGGTGACATAGTTCCAAGAGAACATACCAAATTGGCCCAATGGTTGCTGTTCTAACTAACCCAACGATTTAGAACATTTTAATAAAACACTGTCAATAATCTTACGCTAATTAATTGTTCCAATTTGATGTTTTGAGCCTTTTGGCCAAGGTTGATGTTTAGTGTCTGGCAGTCTGGTTACTTTGAAATTTAGTAGAGTTATGAATAATAAGCTGCATATATCATACTAAATCACACGTGTTATAGATCGAGTTAAGATTGAATTATAAATACATTTCACTTGTACAAGAGACTTGATAACGACGTGATCCACAAATGCGGGGCAAATAGTTTATATTCTTCATAGAAAGGGAAGCTTCACGGGTCACTCCCTCATCATATATAAGATCTTAAAGTAAATTTTGAATACGTGCAATCACTCGTAAACCACACGTATCAAGTTAATTCACGTGGAATTTGAATACCAATGAGTTTACAGTCCATCCAAGGTTAAGTAGCTAAGTAGTACAAGTAGGTTTATTTTTGACTTTATACGTAACAAATCAATAGAACATGCTGACTATCTACTCTAAAAAGCACCAAGAACCCTTTTGATTTGGCCTCAGATTTTGTTGTACTTCTAAAATATTCCACATGCTCAACCTTCGCTTCAGAGTTTAAAAAAAAAAAACATATTAAAAACAATTATAAGCAGCACGAACACGATGTTGTTTGACAAAGTTTTGAGTTGACTTAAGCCTTGAGTTTCTTTTCACATGCAATGCGTGCGGGTGAATATAAAAACAGAAGAGCAAATGGAAAACAGGTTGGAGTGTTTTTGCAAAAACCTATGTCGAAAATCTGATGGATACAGTTGACTAAGGGGACACATCCATGGAAATCTTGGATCTTGGTCACTAAAATAACATTTTGAGAAAAGCACAGCACCATCGTAATCCTAAAATGAGCTCCCATTTTCAAAACTGTCTAATATTATTGTTGACCAACCTGGTTTTCATTTCATGTCATGTGTAAGTGACCAAATTTTTTTCTTTGTTAATTTGTTGTTGCAAAGACACAACCTTTTTTGTCAAATGAGGATCCAAATTCCACGCACAAAGAATGTGTGATGTTTCTGCATCTTTGCTGTCTTACCAAGTTGTTTGTCTCTTGGGTTGGTCCAGCTTGCTTGTGAGATTTGTAAATGTCAAACCAATCTTAATTTTATATTCATAATATAATAAGAATCTTTTTCCCTATGAACCATTCAAAGTAGGCAGAGGGGTGGGATTACTTGGCTCACGAATCTCTGTCTGCTTGATGCTATTTTTTTTTTCTCTTTCTCAAAGACAAATTTCTAGGAGTGCATTTAGAAATGGAAAACAGAAATGCTCATTTGACTGTCAAAGCTAGTTGATTTTTATGGTCTCAAAGCCTTCAAATCCCAATGGATGTTAGGCCTAGGGGACCTTACCTTCCCACATTTGCGGCAGAATAGTAGACCAAAATGGTTGGGATTACCTAACTTGTCATTTTACAGTCATCAAACCTCTAAAAGTTTATTAGGGTTGATTTGTTCATCCACATATTCTGAGCCTTATAGATTGTCATTAATTTAAATACCTAAACCCCAACCCGAAGTATCAGATTATATTACATTTGATATACGATACAATACAACATATATATTTTTTGGATAAATAACAATCATTTGATTTTATAGGCGCGCATTTCACAATAAATATAATGGACATTATGAGTGACTTATTCCCCATATTATTCACATGAGAATTACTTTTTCTACATATACCTCTATCATGTATAAAAGTTATTATATATGAAGGAACGTGATTAGTTGGGGATAGCAAATAGTGATATTCCCGTGATATACAAGTTCATTTCTTCAATTTTAAAAAAGAAAGGTAAAATTAAGCTTCAATTCTCAATATGTCAGAAGAGAAGTGAAATGTCAACAATTATCAACTCATATGGGTAAAATTAAGCTCCAATAATGAACAGGGTCACAAAAACAAGCTGTTGTTTTCGCCAACAGAAGACGAAGTGGTCTGAAATTTCAATCTCTTTGAGCAGAAAAAACAATTAGTGAATTTGATGCATTTCCTCAAAATATCACCCCAACCTTTAGATAGTTGCCCTTCACATAAAATAATTACAGATTCATGGAGCATTTATGAAAGAAAATAATTACATAAAATAATTACAGATAGTCGTTTCCAGATCATTTATGAAAGAAAATAAAGAAAAAAAATAACAGAGACAAAGAACAAGAAATTTGCGTACTAGAATCTCGCTTTTACAAAGAATACATAAACCAGTTTCCGTTGAAAAATAACTTGAAATTGAATTAGAATATCCACAATTTAGTGGATACGGATTTAGCCAGGATTTACTACAAGAAAGTGAAACATCAAAACAAAGATCAAGAAAAGCAACTGTACAATAATGTCAGACTTTCTCATTCTCTATCTTCTTACAATGTCATTGCCTGAATCTACGAGTTCGGTTATGTACCAGAGAAGTTTATTTACTTTTATGATATTTTCGAGATCCATTGATCCTGAAGGCAAGAGTTTAGGACCTTATACCATATAATTGATATCATGCATATATACTAGGCTAACAATTTTGCATTAGTTTGGAAGCATTAGTGAAGATCAGTTTCATGCAAAATTTGGAAAGTTAATCTCGGCCTAATAAAAACTATGTAGTAGGTATATATAACCAACGTGTAGAAGACACCATGGAAACTCCTGAACATAAGATATGGTTCTCATGAACCAGCTGATCCGATAAGAACCCTCAGTTTCAAAAGGCATTTGAACCTCATTCCTGAGCATCACTGAATTTGCATTGCAACTCTAACAGCGAGGCCTTAACACAAAACTTCAGCGTGTGCTTGCAAGAGGATAGTACATGATCTCAACGGGCTGGCCACCGCAGCAAGAGTTGCAGCTTCAATAACATATTCAGCCTTTATTTTTCCTCTCACCTCACCACTAGAATTTCTTGCCATCACTGGATTGCCATCGTCCTTGGAAAGCCAGAACAATCCCCATAGTAAGAGCCAGAATTTCAAGTTGCAGGGTTCCATCCATAAGGGTATTCAGGTCCACCACTAATTTCTCTTTTATTTAGCCCTTCTAATTCCAACACAAAGAACCCCACTTTCTGGTATGAAAAACACAATGCAATCTCCAGCAACAAGCTTCTTCTCAATATTTAATTTACTCCAATATCCCAGGTTGATTAATTGAAATATTATATTATATTACATTTGATACAACACAACACATATATATCCCATGTTATTCAGATTAGAGGTATTTTTTCAACGTAATTTTGTCATGTAGAAAAGTTATCATAAGCGAAACGTGATTGGTTGGGATACCAAAACAGTGATATCCCTATGATATACAAGTTTGTTCTCCTTCTTTCTTCAATTTTAAATAATAAAAAAAGGTAAAATTAAGCTTTAATTCTTAATAGGTCAGAAGAGAAGTGAAAAACGACATGTCAGATAAACAAGCTGTTGTTTTCTTCGCCAACACAAGGTGGTCTGAAATTTCAACCTATGTGGGCAGAAAAACACAATGAATTTGATGCCATTTCCTCACAATGAAATATCAACTTGTTTCCCATGCCCTTCACATAAAATAATTACAGATTCATGGAGCACTTTGCAACCCAAGCTTTCAAATTTGTTTCCATATCATTTATGAAAGAAAATAAAGAAAAAAGAACAGAGACATAGAGCAAGAAATTTGCAGGCTGGAATCTGGCTTTTAGAAAGAATACATAACCAGGTCCCTAGAAAAATAACTTGAAATTGAATTAGAATAATCCACAATTTGGTGGAGAGGGATTTAACCCGGATTTACTACAAGAAATTGAAACATCAAAAGAAAGATCAAGAAAAGCAACTGTACAATAATGTCAATAAAGGAGAGTTTCTCATTCTCTATCTTCCTACATTTTCATTGACGGAATCTACGAGTACGGTTATGTACCAGAGAAGATCATTTACTTCTATGGTATCTTCAAGATCCATTTGGTCCTGAACATCACAGTTATGGACCTCAGCCCATATAAAGTCTTCTAGCTGTCTTCAAAAACTCACTGCCAAAGCAACCAAGAAAACACACAAAACATCATGAGTATTGCTCATACACATCTTGGAAAACCGAGAAAGAGAAAAACAAGGCACAAGATTACAAAAGCAATAAATATGCACAAAAGTACCTGAAGGGTTCATCTTCAGTGTGTTTAATAGCACCTTCTGCATCCCCGTAGAGCACATTTCTCAGCATCTCAGAATTTTCCAAGCCAAACATGTCGGCCAACTTTCCATACAATTCTTTGTATGATCCAAGGACAGAGAGATCAAGGGTCCCCACATCCCCCGATTCAATGAACACTTTGCAATAACTTGTCTCCAAACTAACATTGCTTTTCTGATGATCTTTGTTCCAGGGAGACCCTTCATCAGATGAATTTTCCACTGAACCATTGCGATGTAATGCAGAGCCAGAGCCATCAGAACAATTTCCTTTTTTTTCTGGATGCCCATCTGATGAACTACAATCACCAGAGGAGCTCTTAGACATCTGTTGCTCTGTAAGAATTAGCTGACCAAACAAAAATATGTGAGGCGTCTTTATCTCACCATTGCCCTTCAAACTCTGGGAGGGAATTCCCTTTGTCAGACAACAAGTGATATTCTCATTGCTTTCAGCCATGTGCATGAAGTTGCCCTCAGGGATTCCGGAAGGGGCAAAATGACCAAGTTTTTGAAAACCAACTGGAAACATACCCGAATGAAGTTTGTTGAAGAAAACATCTGATGAAGATAGTCCAAATTGAGCTTGCCTGGCTCCCTGTATGCCCGCTGATATTTTGTCTGATACACTACATAAGGGGTTGCTCGAATTTAGGAAGTTGCTACAAACTGAAGGCATTGGAAGTTGGCTAACAAGGGAATAGTCTGGGTTATGTTGAAGTCGCAGCTTCTTTCTTGGCGGAGAGAAGGGAGAAAGATGGATGGCTGGTATGCTTGATACCAATTCGACCAACCATGGGCTAACACGTTTCACATTTTGGAGCAGATCTGGCTCGTCCCATGAAACCTGAAATGATGATATTTTGTTTAATGATTTACAAGATGATAACTTCATATTTGTCTACTAACAGTTTTAGTATAATTGATATCATGCATATGTACTAGGCTAACAATTTTGCAACAGTTTGGGAAGCATTAGTGAAGATAAGTTTTATGCAAAATTTGAAAAGTTAAACTCGATCTTATAAAAACTACGTAGAAGGTACGTGTAACCAACCTGCAGAAGGCGCCATGGAGACTCAGGCCATCGGCTGGGATCTGCAACCTGAACATAAGATATGGTTCCCATGAACCAGCTTATCCGAGAAGAATCCTCAGTTTCAAAAGGCATTTTGAACCTCATTCCTGAGCACCATTGAATTTGCATTGCAGCTCTAACAGATGTGGCCTTAACACAAAACTCTGGTGTGCTTGCACGAGGATAGTACACAACCTCAAAGGGCTGGCCACTGGCAGCAAGAGTTGCAGCTTCAATAACATATTCAGCCCTGATTTTACCTCTCCACTCGCCACTAGAATTTCTTTCCATCAAGTTATTGCCATTCTCCCTTGGGAAGCCAGAATAACGCCCATAATGAGAGCCAGAATTTTCAGCTGCAGGGTTCCATCCAGAAGGGTATTCAGGTCCACCACCAATTCCTCTTTTAGCCCTTCTAATTCCAACACAAAGATCCCCACTTTCTGCTCTGAAAAACACAATAGAATCTCCGGCAACAAGCTTCTTCTGGTTCACAAAATTACTCCATCCTGTTGTCAAGAGGTGACGACGAGGAGTACCTCTATAAATATGCCTAAACTTCCACGTCTCACCGTGCACATCCTTTGCAAGAATGTTCTGAACAGGAGGCTCAGCAGAGTAATCCAAGCGTGGGAAGATAGTCTCTGCGCAGTAACGAGGCACGGAGAACCCTCCCCCATTGTTAGCATCAGATTGGGTCAATGTCTTGGCAAATGATGTGGGTTTTTCCGGATTCTCAACTGTTCCATTGTTTTCCACAAACCCATCCTCAAGATCAAAAGCATTCTCTCTTATTGGTATCAGCTTCATTTTCGCATAAACCTCATCCGTTTCATGATCTGCCATATATCTAATAGCAGATATCCTGGAAAGAATGAGTGGAGGAATTCTAGAATTCCCAAAATCTACTTTCCCATGGGCACACTCAGCATGTCCCTGAGGGAAGTAGAAGATTTTAGAGTTGATGTGTGGCATTTGAACCATGCCACCAGCGCAGGCATGCCAGAATTTAGAATCCAATAACCACTTCTCTGAGTTGTTGTTCATAGGGCCTCTTACAGAATCCATTACTGTAATCATAATGTCAAACAAACTATTGAACCTTTACAGCATAAAAATTCCTTGTATGGCTTATTGCTTTCCTCAGCGAAAATGCAGCTGTTAACACATGAGAATTACAAAAACAAAAGAAAAAAAACTTCAAGTTAGATATGTTATTATTGGTAAGGGAAGAAAAGCCATAATTTCTTAAAAGAAAAAAAAAACCTCAAAACAGAATTTAAATTTAAAAAAAATAGCAGAAAAGAAACTGACAACTGGAGAAGGAAAGTATCAAACTATCAATCACAAGTTAATGGTCAATGAAAAATCCAGGAACTTTTCAAGTTCAATTGCTGGGATTTATGAGAACACACAGAAAAGCCAAGAAATTTGGAAACAACAAGAACCAACTAACAGAACAGAAACATGAGATTTAAGCAAGACAAGTTAACAAGAATCAATGATTACCTCTCTTTCAGAAAAATCAGAAATATGACAGATGAAAGTCCAACAGGATTTGGAATTCCTCTGAAATATGAAGTCCAAAAAATCTAGAGAGTTGGTGTGTGCTGTGACTTTGTGGATGTGAACTGTAAAGGGTCGGCTTCTCTGTCTTTTGTCTCTCTGTCTGTGTGAAAAGCTAAAGTTGGTTCTCTCAGAGACACACAGAAACAACAAGTGAAAGCAGAAGAAGAAGGCTGGAGCTTCGTTGCCGACCAGAGCAGACTGTGTTAGGAGTGTGTGAGAGAGAGATTTAGACGACAAGGGACACATACCAAAAGGCAAAAGCCTCCCCCTTTTTTATATTATTCTTATTTTATTTTATTATTATCGCGGGTCCAGAGATTTACGTGCTATTTTCGATAGTTTCGGATCGCAAAAGTCCAAGTGGCTTTGCCAAATTTCAGGTGAATTCCCTTTCTCATCTCTATCTCTCTCTCTCTCTCTCTCTCTCTCTTATTTTTCTTTTCTTTTTTCACAATTTCTGTTCCCATGATTTTAAATATTGATAACATTTTATTTGTTTTGCTTGTGTCTATTTATTTTCTATGTATTTTGATGAAACATGTGCAAGGGAAAGTCAATGTTACTTGGAAGGCACAAGGCTCATGGCACAAAGTAACCTAATTAAGTGGCATTAACCATTCCAATAAATTTAAGCTCATGCTCCATTAAAGAAGCTCATTAGTAGTAGTGAACACTTCCTACAAATTTCAAGGCCATTTATTTTAGTGTCTTACACTTTGGAAGCCATGAAAACTCATATCTCAAGTCAAAAGTCAGAGAAACTCAATAAATCCACCAGATTTCAACTTGTGTAAATCAGGCCCCAACCCAAAAGGGTAGTGATGAACACAATGTATTTGTGTTTGTGCTATCCAAAAACCACATTCTTTTTAAAACCTTTTACCTCTTCCTTTTTCTTTTGTCACAAACTTTGTGTCTTCAAAAAGTTGATCAAACGTTATTATGCTCATTGAAGAATTTAGTAAAATTGTCACGCCTGCAGGTTAATTATGTTCTCTTACTCGATTTCAAGCATATAGAAAGCTTAACGCTTGTAAATTAAATTAACGGAATTTGCAAAAGTCAACTCGTGTTTTTCACGCACAACACATTGCCAAGTTTGACTATTGGAGTAAATCCCTCCGCGTAAAAAATAACAATAATTGCTTCTCTCAAATTTTCCAACTAATAATGTGGGAAATTTTTGAGTTCTATTAGCATTATTCAATAAAATATAGAACAACAAAGTCCTCATAAAAACAGGTTTATTAGAAAAATTATCCAATCAATTGAATATATGAAAACATAAAATAATACTAATTAAAATGGGATTGGAAAAATGAAAAAATAAAATAAATTTGAGTATGCGAATAAATCGCAAAATTGTTACAACATGGCGACATTCATGCAAGTGCTGAAATCAAGGTAGTGGTTTTAACCGAAGTACGTGGACTCCTATGGTCAAATTTTTATTGCCTGAGCCCTAACTCTTCGGGGGTAACCAAGGTTAAGCTCGCGTTTAGTGACTTAAGTTAACTCAGGTTCAGTTTGAGTTGTAGTACAATATAAACCCTGGTCAATAGTCCACAGTCAACCCCCAACGTGTGACGTGTCCATATCTCTTCACTGGTTGTTTGTTGTGTCCCAGATTTGTTGCTCCTGGACATGATCTTGTCGTGCTATTTCTGAGGCTAAGAACAGGACAAGATCATCTCAACTACCAGGTTTTTGAATCTCTCTTTTCACATTATCTTTTTCATTTAGTTTTTTTTTTATCACTTAACCAATAAAAGAAAGAAAAAAAAGTTGTCATGCCCTAAATATATAAAAGTAGATAGAGCCTAACATGTTACATGTTAGGTTGTATTAAAATTCAAAATTGTTATACATTCGTGTAATTTTATGTGGTCTTAATTTTACCAGAGTATCAGATGGAATTCCTACTCATACGTACCAAGACCATTTAATTTTCTAACTAACTGATTACATGTTATGTTGTAATGAAATTTAAAATTGTTATAAATTTGTGATTTTATGTGGTCTTAATTTTATTAGAATATCGGATGGAATTTCCCATCATACGCACCACGACCGTTCAATTTTATATATAACTAATCGATTTTTACGTAAGAGATTAAGGCAAGAATTAGTGTGATTTTTGGATTAGAGAATGAACTTGATAAAAGGAGGCACCAAAAGCGACGTCTAATACATTAGGACAAATTAATATGACAAAAAGATGGGATATAAAGAAAAGCCAAATCATTCGGCTAATGACTTCGGTCGGTCTAATAAGGGATAGTTAGTTTTCTCAAATATGAAAATGCAAAAGGGTTTAGGGTTTCAATCATGTGACATGCACGTGACTTAAGTTTTTAATTGAGTTTTGGTTCATTTCTTTATATCTGTCTCTCTCTCTGAAATTACAATCAATTTTGCCTCCATCCAACTTGATAGAATTATAAACCCTAGCAAACATTCTAGAGAACCAAAACTGTTAAAAGACATATGTGCTGGAAATGGACATGGAGGGATCAGACCTAACCAGTTGGAGGGGATGTAGACACCTGACAGCAACACAAATTTTGTCTAAAACTCTCATCAAAACCCTGAACATATCTTCTTCCTCACCAAACTTTTACGACTTGACCCCAACAATTTATTATGTTTAATTAATGTGGCCTCTCGTCAATGTGGTTGGGCATTTTTCTTAGTCTCCGCCATAACCACAAACACAACAAGTGCCTCCTGACCAACCCTACGCCCCATTCAAAGGGTCTCTAAATGGGTGTTGTCTTGTCACTTGGGGTTCATTGTCCTTCTCATATGGGCCTTTCATAAGGACTTTTGCCACAAAATTATTTAGAGTGATGTGAGGATTGAGGGAATTGTTTAGCACTTGGAACCAGTTCGTGAAGTTGAATTGTGATTATTAATTTCTTCTATCTCAAGCAACAATGATGGAGATAGCATTGCTATTTTGAGTACTCAGAAGTCAAAATGCACCACTTCTTCTCGAGTGGAATGGGAAACAATTTTCACATTTCCTCCTTTTACACGTGTGATTGAACTAATAGTTAGACGGATACTTTTAACTTTGAAAATAAGGAACACTTAGAATTTCTAAAAATGTACATTTGATTAGGTATTGTGAAATACTTTTGACATTACTTTTCATGTGACTCGATATTGAAGTCGATATAAGTAAGTTTTTTACCTGGTTAATTATTAGTAAGCACATTTCAAATAAAAACAATATTATGATAACTCTAAAAGAATATTAACAATTGCAAAGGATCATAAAATGCACTTGGTTAATACAAACGTTAAGAATTATAATTATTAATTAAATGAGAATAATATCCTATTTTTATAGACCATAACTACCCATTATCTTTTTTAATTCTAAAATAAAATTTTCGCATATCAAAATAAAGAAAAGAAGTTAAATGTTAATTTTGATTTTACCGTTGATTGAATCGGCATCGAGTAAAAGAGGGAACACCGACAGCTGACAAAGCGGAGTCACAACCCAAGCAATAGAAGCAGTCGCTACCATCCACCGGATCTACTAACGTAATGTTTTCATTTTCAACGACATTTGTAAACGAGCGGGTGCACTTCCTCCACATGGCTGCATCGAACTTTAGATAGTTTCCCGATGGGCCCCACGTCCTGTTGTAAATCTCGTCAGTGAGATAGATGGGGATGGGATAATGGAAACATGACGCGTCTAGGTGACTGGGTCCCACGTCCGAATCTGTGTCGTTTCTTCTGTTGGCCCTACAACAGTAAAATTGTGAAAAACTCAGCCCGCGTACGTAACTCTAAATTAAAAAAACAAAAAGAAAGCTGAATGCAGTTTTGGAGGGTAGAGAAAAGAAAAACTTGGTTCCAACGGGGGATGTTACTATTTTGTTATGCTTTTTTAGTTAATACGGTAATTAGCATCTTGTAAATCACTATCTGATATTTGAATGAGTCAAAATTGACATATGCTACCAATTAACTATTCGCTTACTATGACATTTTTCTTCACTTTATTTAAAGAAATTCTAAGTTTCAAGCGCGTTGTAGATGTGACTATAGCATATTGTGAAATGTAGCTTACAGATCATAATTCGGTGTTGTCAGACTTGTCATTTCCATTAAACACGAGTCTTATTGGAGTAGGTCGGGTCATGGTAACCTTCATTTTCTCTCAATTTTAACGATAAATGCAATTTCCTATAGGTAGACCGTAGACTAGACAGATTGGTGTGAACTAGTCAAGTTGATAATACAAATTGTTTATTATATCTCGATGGCTTTGAGGTAGCAAGTTTAGGGTTTTTAATCAAGCTCTTAGCGTGGGTGAGGAGCCACAATAATTGCATTAAAAACGCATTAAGGGGTTTGCAAAGCAAAACAAATCAAAGCAATAAATTTTCTGGTCCCCAAGTTGCTGAGAGCAAAATAGTCGTCGTCAAAACATGCAATGTCATTTGCATGAACATATATATACTGTACACATTAACATCAACGACATTGAATGCTTACACATGGCGACCACATAACATACGCCGCGGCTGCTCTCTCTCTCACATGCCGCTCTGCCAGCCATGGCCGCTGCTCTCGCTTCCACACTCAATTAAACCTTAATTAATTAGTCAACTTAGCCGCTAAGTTTTATTTATTTTTATTAATATTTATGACTGACAAAGATCAATTCAATCGAGTCATTGACTCTGTAAATTAAAATGGTTGATTTATGATCCCGAGTTTACAATATTTGTTGCTTGCTTTCAGTTTCGCACTTGTTCTTCGGACTAATGTTTATTTTATGAAACAATCTTATGACCAAAACAGAAGTTGTCACACGTGAGGTTGGGGACAATTTTATCAAATTTGACTGCCTGCCGGCCATAGTTTGTGAGCGAGCATAAAAGTTTACCATATGCACCTCATGAAATTGTAACCATTTGGCTCCACCTTAACTCAGTGATGAGAAAATATGTTAAGTGATGGTATGTCATGTGCGAGACTCTACTTTTTTTGCTTACCCTGAATAAAGTAACATCGCTTTCACG